CTTCACACCCACTGACTTCATCATCTGATGAAGCAAAACCTTTAATTTTTGGAAATGGAAGCTCTGCAGAGTGTGGAATATGTCGAATTGCAGAGGAACTACTGGGATAAGAGCTCTTGCCAACTTTTTATACCAATACCTTTTGTAGTAACATGCAAAAATCTCAGTCTGTCATGTGGTTCGTAGATTCTCGTCTAACTATGGGAACACCCAATAGCAGGCCTTTGCGTTCGCCTTTTGTCCAGTCACAACAATGGCACACAATGTGAGGCGCCCATTATTGCTCGTCACAAAGAGGTATTTCAAAGTATGCTCTATAGGCGCATTTGGTAAACGGACTGATATTTCTCCTTTGACGAACTAGTGTATAACAGCCGGCTACATAGCAAAACGCATCCGGTTCATTTACACATTTATATCTACCTGAGTGAGCCATGGTCATAACTGAAACGAAAATGGATTGGTATTTAGTTTTCTATTTAGGTAAAATGTCAAAATGCCTGAAAACTATAGCATGCAGATAAAAAGGGTTTTAGATATGAAGTCAGCAATAAAAATTCACGTGGGGTCAGTTTAAAGATCTCTTGCAACAGAAAGTTGCAAAAATTTTGCTGCCCTGGGTAATTGAGCTACCATCGGAATGGACCCTCATTCCAACCTGGTCATTTCCTCCAGCTAACTGCGAAAAGGCCTGATAACACATACCGAATTGGCCCTATGCGGAGAAAAACATTGTCTAAACTGCCTTGGGGAATTCTGGGGATGATTTTGTGGCATTTTACCCAATATTTTTACTACACTTATTGGAGCCTGAGATTTTAAGTGTCGTCAGGCGGACTTCTTTTGCGCGCGCCTGCTGCTCACCCGCTATTGTCCTGGCCAATCCGACCTCACCTTGTTCGCATATACTGGTTTTCTGTAGTCCCAAGGTGACCCAATCCTGCCCTCATCCTACCGCCTTCAGCTCACGTGGATGGCGCTTGATTGGCTTCCTGCCCGCTGGTTCTATGTCGCTTCTGTTCACTACCAGCAATTATCGAGTCATCCCATTTTTGTTAGGGTAGCGATGTGTGTATTGGCCTGATCCTACCGTCTTGGACTGTAGTGAAAGTTGATCGCGTACTCTAAATCCAATCTTGAATTCCTTACCGTTGTACCAAACGCTGCTCACGAATCTTACTTGCATAGGGATCAAGGCGTCAGCCACTAAACACTAAGCTCCGAATTCCACTCTAGCTCAGGTGATCTCCATGTTATTAGTCCACACGAGAACGAAACCGGTCATGGGGTGTCAGTGTTGGGAGGAGCAACACCGAAACCTCTCTATTCGGGACGCGGTCCTTGTGATCGGAATGACCGAGGTCGAATTCAAAGGGACCGATGTCTCAGACTGCTTGTCGCAACCCAACCACGCGTCGTATGCTCCAAATCAATCTTGAAGTCGCCTGGTTCTTCTGATGCTTTTGACCCTCACCTCATAAGGAACGTCTTAGACTGCAATCGATTCCATCGAATGGTATTATTCCCGATTCTGAGCTTCTACCTCCTCGTCTCTCTCTCACGGTTTTTGGTTGTCCTTGTACCAACGTCACTAAACCTAAACTAAGTACGTCGTACGAAAACTAAACTAGAAACTGCGAACAGATAAACCTAGACTTAACGCACGGTCTGGGCAGAAGAATAAAACGAATTATCCTGTAACCGTGGTTCTATAAGGCATAATAAATACAGTACCTGACTTACGAATAGGCTTCGCAATCGTAATGCAAGTGGGCAGAAACTGTCCAGAGTGGGGTAGATCGAGTATTTGGGCAGTGTCACAGTAACATAACCATAAGAATGACCTTGAAACCTCAAGAATGTGTCAGTGATGGAGTGTAAGAAATAAATATGCGATATGTTAACCGCTTGTAAAACGCAGAAAGGCAGTGTAAATGTGCAAGATAATCAGGGGAAAGAGATACCGTGTCCTCATGTAAGCAATCCACTTCGGGGATACATCAAAGTTCCTTTTGGACTTTACAGTCCTCACCCCACCATTTGATGTTGATTCCATCCATACTTCGTCTCCCAAAGCTGGAGATAGAAAACATATCGACCCGAGGTTATCGCCGAAAAATTATCTCTGGCTGTCTTGCAGAAGTGCGGTTAACGTTAGTTCCCTGCACTTGCACCTTGGTTGTTGGCAGCAGAGTCCTTGTTCTGAAACTGAACTGGACTTGTCCAGTTCTCTGTGAATGGCATGTATTACGTTTTAAAAACATGCTACAGAGGTCCTCATGCATCTCTTTGATTTTGACAAGCAATTTCTTCGCCTCTTCTACTTAGGATTCGCCCTTCAGTTTGGCTATGGTATGAAATAGTGAATCGAAGGTGAAAATCACACTTCTCGATTGGGTCGCGCGATTCTGCGTTATCAAATCGTTGTACTTTAACGGAAATCACCTCCTTAGCGATGCCATATTGTAATTTGCTCACTGGCTATAGCAGATGTCACTACTCCATGGGCTTCCAATCGAGTCTAGACGATTGCTGGCGGTTACTTCTAGAAGTCACCGGATAGGATTCTGCTACATCTGATCATGCGGATGGCTTGTGTCAAAAGTTCAACTAATATCACTGAATTTGTGGATGTTTGTGAATTTAAGAACATGCACAGTCGTCCGATATATGACGCTTGGCATTCTAACTCTGACCCTTCTGCTGCTAGTTACAGTAGCTCACAAGGCATATTCTCGTTTTCACATGAAATCCAACTTGCTGCAACGACCATTAAACGAAAGCATCGACCACCCTCAGCTATTCATCTTTTAAGGACATTGGAGCTTTGACGAGTCTTTGGTCTAATGACGTCTACCTAGGCTGAGGAACTGAGCCTCCTCCGCATTGAACAATCACAGAAATGTTACCCTCGCATTTGTGTCCATCAACGACATCAGTATCTGCACCGATCGTAGTGCTTAAAGTAAAGTACATTCGACCGGGAAACCCTAGTTGAGAACACCACTCATTGTATCAAACTTTTACTAACACTGCACCAGAAAGGAACAGGTGTAGTGTTTACACGGTCGTCGACTGTGTGCTGTTACATTCAATTACATCTTGCTTTTATAACTAACCACCGGATCGAATTCTTGTGATTTGATAACTGCCGTGGCAAATCAAATGCAGTACGTCGTACTGGTCGTCATCTTATTCTGTGGTCAGCTGGTCTAAATCACAAACTCCTACGTGTATGGTCGCAGGTTCTAGCCCCGCAGTAGACATAAAATGCGCACTGCTAGCTAGTACCGAAAGAGTGAAACGCCGTCTAGGCTTCTTCTGGGCACTCCAAGTAGCCGGCGATCATTAATCATTTCGATCTCGTAGTGGGCACTGATGATTTCACGTAGCTTGGTGATGACAAGTGCAGACAAAATACCCTACTGGAAGGACAACCGAACGCCCTCCGAACGTCGGGCGACAATCACTCTCCACAATTGCGAACTCTACTCATCTGTCCATTTTTTATACCCTTTGTTTTAGGGCTACCTGGCACCTCACCCACGTAGTTGAAGCAGCGGCATACAATGAACATGGAATCAGGTGATTCGCGTGTCCGCGAAGACCCCTGTTTAGGCCCGTCTGACTCGGCATGCGGTCCGATATTACAGCAGCGATTCTCTTACCAAACGCCAACCGACAGTAGTTAGAGTTCGCGCACAACTACCAGTGGTCAACTACGATCAGCAGAAACGGCTGGTTTCCCTTTCGGCAGGCTGTACACTTCGCTTGATCTTTGAACAATATGCCTACTACTGACGTATTCCGTGACTTAAAGCCTGCCTTTCATTCGGATAGCCATACTTATTCCTTTTGTATGTACTTCATTGCGGTCATCTCTCAGGCATGCAGGCTCCCACACATCTGGAAAAGCACCAGACGGCCGTTTCGATCTTGTGGGTCGTTCCTCGGATCCTTTCCGAGTTCCGACTCTATGGCTTCTGGATCTCAGCAACTTATACTACTAATTCATAAGTGACAGCAGTAAACCTACGTGACTGATCCTTAACTGCTATGTAGCACAGCTCGTCTTCCACGGTCATGCCAGTTGCGAACTGTGCAGAAGACAGAATTGGCCCCAGAACTACGACTCCCTTCATAGCGACTGTACGACAGCCTATCGTTGACGTGCGTACCAGAAAAATGATCACAGATTACTCTCATGATTGTTTCGAGTAGGCTAGAGCACTGCCAATTGATTTCAGAAGCGCTTGAAAACAATCGGTTCGTACATTTGGTTTGCAACGTTTCGCTTTTGACACAAAGGCCTCATCGAGCCGAGTGAACTAGCAAATAATTGGAATTTATAGCACACTGCCAAGTGAATTACGCACTTGGGTCGAACGCGACGAAGGTATAGACCATGTTGCACATGCCGCTCTACAGCACCACACACTATGGCATTATTTTCCTGCCTTTAAATCACAAGGCGGTTGTACACTGAGCAGCGGTGCGAACTGATCGATCGGCTCGAGTGTCTGGATGGCTGTATTCACTCAGTTGATAACAGTGCCAGGGTTATTGTAAAACTTAATGAGGCAACTGTGGCTTTTCGATATCCTGTCCACTAGGACGAGATGGCTGACCAGCAGCGGTGTGCAGTTGCTCCACTGGCGATGTGTGGATGAGTAATAGTCGATATATCTTCGAGATTGCGAATGCTGATCTGCTGAACACTACAAGTATTTGGTGGACTCTGAGTGCGCAACGTATATGCATCCGAACGTGTTAACCTCAAGCCACTTACTTTTACAAGCTGTAGGAGGCTTGCGCTTAACATACAGCTTTGGTGTTTGTAACATTTGCGCTAGATCGTAGTTGCGCAGCACGGTCGAGATACAAGTGGGCAGGCCTACAAACTCATGGCTTTTCATCTTGCCAACAAAGCTTTCTTCCGCTCGATTATGGTTATCATTGTCACGCAAAAAACAATTTCTAGTTTAACTGAAGCAACTCATACACTGCTGCAATCTGTTCTGTATTTTTCAATAGATCGCAGAGCAGAGCACATAACATAACGAACAGTTTGGATCACTCCAAGTGTTTGGTCAATTATTGTGGTCACGTGGTTCCGTAGCGCCACCCTCGCTCAAAGCCACCGCCTCATCCAACCAGGGTACTCGATTACTCAAAGTTAGACTGGTTGCAGGGATCAGCCGACGGCTTCGTGATTGTTTCTACCGTTTGACCGTACTCACCGCCGCATTGAATCCAGGGTGGACTGACATAACGATTGTCTTCGTTTGTGTTTTGTCTAAAGAGACATTGCTTGAAATCGGCTTTTGGCATTGTCCTGTGTGTGTGCACATGGGAAATAACATCGATGCGATTTACTCGCAGGCATGATACAGAATTGGCGATAATCAAGGCCAAAGTTGCTCTATAGAGAAGTTCATTGTTGCTTTCACATCCAATTACTAACCTGGCATTTAAGGGAAGAGCCGGAAACGCTTAACAAGGAGTTAGACTCGGGTTGATGTTTGGTATCATACCCATGTTTCATTAATCTTTCGTTTCCTATCTGTCCACTATGATCAGCGTGGCCCGTGTCCTAAGTCTGAGCTAATGTTACACCATTCAGCAGCCAAATTGCCAATAGGGAGGACAGTTTTCATCATTGGCCAATTGGGATATCAGAAGCATACTATATTGTACTTTGTGGTGGCATATCGAAATCCACTTCACCTTCGTTCGGGGTCAAGGTTATCTAAGCAATTATGTTACTGTAGCGTCCTTATCGACTAGCTGTGATCAGCATGTGTTCATGGTTATGTGCTATCAAAGGACTGATATCTGACAACCCTCACAATTCAGTACCTACAAAGGTATACACAGCCCACATTTCAAAAGGCGACTCCCTACGAACATTTTTCAGCTATTACCGCAGTGCCATTCGAAGAAATATACTTGGGGACCTGGAAAGAACAAAAACCCGATCTCACATAGGCTACCCCGAAAGCATAGTATAGCCATCATGGGGATTGAAAACATGTACCGCCTTTTGATGGGCTCATACAGCCTTACCATCACCATGGGGAGCAGGTGCTTAAGCCTCTGGGATCACCGCCACTACCGACTTCTCACATATGAAAACCTTCGACACTCCATGTTCCTTTCATATAAACAACCCTAGCTCCCAGTTAAGACTCAATGTGTAACTAGATTGTAGTCGCTTCGTCTTGTTGCCTTACAATCCAGCGACGCATAGCCTGTTCCAAAAGATCTTGACTCGATGCGATTCAAAGCTGTTGCGGCACGTTGTCTATAATCTATGATGCTCAAAAACACATCACAATAGGATGTACATTGGAATTTATCACTGTTCCCGTCAATGACTTCATAGCCGTCCCTTCGCAAGCACCTAAAAGGGACTACCATCACCCCTACATTCTCGCCACACTGTGATGCATACCTTCGTGAAGATACCGCATCAGATATTTCATTGTCTGCGGCCGTTCCGCTGTCTTCCCAGTTGCCCTCTCTACTACTATCATCTGCTCGAATCAAGGTGACAAGTCTGAACTCGAACCAGGTTGTTCGAAGAACTCATCTGTCTGCGCGACCTTACCCTGTTGGTAGTTTCCATGATGAAACCGCGTGATTTTGTTCTCGATATTCTTTGACATCGGGCCCCTCTTAATTCTCACTTCAGTGCTTTTCTCTCTTCTGAGAGGTTATATTATTACTCGGCCAAATAGATTCAGAACCTGAGGACTCACTCTCGTATTTCCCCCTACCGGCTGTCGGCTTCGTATGTTCTTGTCCTACTGACTCAACTCTGCTTTGTAGTGAGTCTGGCAAGGACAGTTCCACATTATTTGTCGAGTTTGTCCTTCTAGTTTGTTTTTTATTTGTTGCGCTGTTTGTGGAATAATGACCGTATGCGACCAGTTCCGAAAATGCCTTTTGAATTTCTTCGCTGGGATGGTATCGCTCAACTACGCGAGTGTATTGCCACTTCTACCTACTGCTACACGGAAACGAGTACACAAAGTCTGAAGTCGTTCGGACTGTTAGCAAGAGCAGACCGATGGTATCGGCGAGTCTTAGCCCATTTATACCCAGGCTACCGGACTTAATCACAGCCAATTTGTACTATTTAATTCCCCCATCTCATCCTTTTCACAAAGGCGTAGTTACGAGCATAAATCTGGCAAGTGATGCAACACAGTCTTTCATAAACTAGCGACACTCATACACCTTCTCGAGAGATTGTCCCACTTGGTCAAGTGGAACAAATGTGCAGTTTTTTTCTGCTTTTGTAAAAAGATAAAACCAACATTGAAGAGTCTATTTGGTTTCTATTGTGTCCAACATCCTCGCATCCATCCTATCTCTTGGAATGTTCCGTTTGTGCAGGGAGTGGATCCGAGAAACGGTTTGTCCTCCGGCCGGTAGTGGATATTCCGATCCTACTTTTTATCCAAAACTCCACATCTACCGCCAGCTGTAAATGTAGCAGTGATCTTAGCCAGTCAAGGCAGCTTCCAATTCCTCGATCGAGCTCTCTCATGAGCCTTTCCCAGTGGATGTTTCCTTCTCAGAGGATAGTTTCCAAAACTCAGATAAGTGACTCACTTTCTCTTGTCTGTTGTCTTTCCCTACCCATGGTGGACAGGAGACATGTTCGTCTCGCCCACAGACACTTGAGGGCAGCTTTTATCAAATTCGCTTTTTGTGCAGACTGTGTGCCAAAGCATCCAAACTTTCACCTGTGCTTTGGTTTTGTCGGATGATGCTCCTGCATGTCATGTTATTGGCCACGATTGCTTCTGAATACTCACGTGATTGCTGCATTAGCTATGTTAAAATTGCTTTGGTGTTTATTGCTCACAGAGCGGGTGGAGAAGCTATTGTCTCCGTTTCCAACAACCTATTCGTGAATCGCATCAACCTGACTGCCCACATGCCGTTAAAGCTTGGGTTTCTGTTAGAAGATAACCGATTCATGTCATTCGCACCCGAGCAATGGGTGGACTTCGTACTGTGGGTTAATCACCGTGCAAACGTGCACGGCGCGTTGTTGGTTTCTTGGGCTCGAGGCACCGTGCAACGGTTCGGGAACTGTTAACCACTAAGGAAAGAGAATCATAAGGATGACGCTCAATGGACCAAGTGTTGCGAGGGCGTATGCGAAAATAATAAGCCTGAATTTTGGTAATTACTCTGTACTACTTTGTGGTTAGAAAAGCAACACATGTAATGCCATCGAATGAGGCCGTTTTATGTTCCGCATTCCACTTGCTCGTTCTCTTTAAGTTTCGTTGGCGCAGTATGGAAACGCTGCAAGCCATAGCTAAAGTAGTTCGTGGATTCTCCAAGTTTGGTAGTTGGTTAGGTTGTACGTTAGTTTTGCTACGTTGCTGAGCTGGGTACAACATGGTCGGTTTCACAATGCTATTGTCATTGAATTGTTAAGACAAACCATGTACCGGTGTGGTTAGGTTGATTACGCACAATCTGTAGTCCGTGCTTTCGAGATCATCTTGGAATGAGTAAACTTAGATTCTGCAGTAGCTTCCCACGCAGTACAGTTATTCCATCTGATAAGTTGATTAATCACTGCTCCCAAACGTGTGATAAAACGAAGAAACGTGGATCATCTTACACTGTACCTGTGGTCGCTCACCCATTCTGTCTGCTATCCAGGTTTCGGTCTTCGTCACCGTCCTAACGAGTGCTGGAATCCGCACTACCAAGTCCTCCTTGGTTGGGGAGATTTATTATCCAGAGTAAAGAATCGATTCGTCGTCTCAGGCAGTTTTCTGGTGGTAATGAACAGACTACCGCCTTCGATGTGTAATTTGGTGCGATGATGTGCAGACAATCTAGGGGATCATCTTATTGGCTGGCTTATTACTCTAGACGGCTTATCCTACAGTGCTTTGTGTGGAATGGTCTGTGCAAGTTCACCAACATCGGGCTCATAGTGTCAGTTGCCAATCCAATAGTCCCTACGCACACTTGAGCATCTTGAGTCCTCTATGTCTCGTCGCTACACTCACGCAACCAGTAGACCACCAGCCTCGAGCTGTGATAAACTGGCCCGTGTCTTTAATAAAAGGATATTGTCTTAACTTGTAAGAGAGCACAGCAGATTAATCCGTCAGGCAATAGTAGGACTCAGATGGTCGTGTGGCTCCCAGATCTACGACGCACACAAAGCGATTCCATGGGGCCACTGTTGCCATTGTTCACGGACACTGTAGGCTGAAACGGACCTCGTGATATTTCCTCTATGACGGTTTGCTTTGGCTTCTGGATGTCTGGCGACTGCAATCACAATCATGGACCAACCGAAGCGATGCGACCAGTCCAATACTACTGGTGTAGCATCATCAAAGCATTGATACTAAGTAGGTAGACTGAACTGGGAGCACTAGTGCCTAACCCTACCTTTTATGGTCCTAAAACATAGGATTTGGGGATAACAGTTGGCTGGTTAGCTGGAGAGAAAGTCACTCGTAACTAAACGCGGTGCTGTTGGTGCGCCTCGCCTTTCAAACTGAACTCCACGCAACCCGTCTTTTGCTTGGCTCGAAGCTTTACAGTACATGGTTTCCAGTCAGCACCAGTGACACGTTTGCTGTCGCCTCCTAGTCGGACCGCCGGTTTAATGGGTGTTTGGTGCTGAGTTATCTCCTGGCTAATAGCTGATTAAGACGCGGGGAAATGAAAACCCCAAGGAAGCTGTTTCGGTAATGTCGCCCTATCGTTACATGATACCCAGCTAGGTGTAACCATATATATTGAAAAGGTGTAGACACCTTTACCCCGAATGTTTACTTAGGACATTTAAGTTTTACGCTAGATTCCTCAGATTATTGTGATTGTACTACAACAAAGGATCAGTACAAAGTTATGATGCTATCCACAGCTCAAGATACCAATTTGGATGACTGGAATTCTGTGTTACCTGAAGTCTGTTCGATCAATCAGCATAACCTGCTTCTAAGTGTAAATGTAGCTGTGGCACCGAACTTATGGGAGGAGTGCGTCAACTGGACCCGGTCACCTAATTCGCTGGTTACGAGCATTGCCCATTCTAGCTGGGAGTCTGCGTGTTCTAAGGAGGCACCAGTCGTCGTAAAATAATGTTGCATACCGAAAATGGGATCAGTGCCCATAAATAAAAATGAACGACGTCACGAGCACGAGTAGGCTGTGGTCGTCGCTGAATGCCAGTTATGCACGAAACAGTGATCGTATGTTGCAATTGTTAATTACCGTCTACCGTATACTTCTAATCTAAGGCTAAAAAAACTCAAAGCTCTCCGTCAACCAGACTCTTCA